CCAGGGGGACAGGAGCAACTCTCATCACCCCCAGAAAGTAAAATAAGGCGGAGCCACAGGGGGTCCAGGGAAGCTCCAATATCTAAAACATAACCGTGATAATAGATATAATGTGAGTGTTACAGCTTCGTATCCATAATATTTCATACATTTCTGTACCTGTATCATAGACTCTTCCACTTGTCTTTTCATTCTTATACCCTCAGTTACACCAACGTGTGTCATAATGACTTACTTAAAGGAGAACTACGAGGGGGAGGGGCTTGTCACTCACCTCATAGTTGTAGCCGACCTGTGACAATGAGATCAGAGCCAGCTGTCAGTCACGCAGCTGGGCGGATCCAGGCAGTAATGTCGGGATCCGCTCCGGCTGCGGCGTCTCAGTATACCGCGAGCTGTAGCTCCCTATATACTGAGCTTAGGGTGACGGGAGGACGCTAGTTTGTGTCCTCCCGTTACCCTAAGGAGAACTATGGGGAAAAACACTGACCCCGTACTTCTCCTTTAATTCCTTTTATATCCCATTTATTAGGGATTGTTAATCTTTGGAAGACGTGTCAGTAGCCTCGGTGTCCCTTTATTTCTTCCTGTGTGTTAGTTATTCATCACCAACCTTTCATGTTATCATTCCTCCTCGTATGTTGTATCCTTCTTGTGCCATATAAATAAATCCCATTCAATGCCCTGAAATCACAGTGCATCCCCTCTCCAGTCCTCCCCTTTTTGTTCCTATTCCACTGCAAGGTGTGCCAAATTGATAACTACAAATCCATTTAGTTAAACAGTGCCCGAATCACCCTCACCTTTACTTCCAATCAAAAAGTCTCCTAAGTCGAGTCCAATGGTTTGTAGCCTCTCACCCGCTTCGTTCCCTCCGTGTGTCAATTCATGTGTGTTTGTCATTTATCTGTGGGGGTTGATGGATGGAGGTGGGCAGGGTAGATGGATGGAGGTGGGCAGGGTAGATGGATGGAGGTGGGGTGAGTAGATAAATAGATGGAGTGGGGGTAGATGGATGGAGGTGGGGGTAGATGGATGGAGTGGGGTACATGGATGGAGGTGGGGTGAGTAGATAAAT